CCCCCCCCCCACCCCCTGAAAAACCTCCCATTAAATGACGCCACTGTATGTGAACTAGAGATATTTGATCCAAGTTATGTGAAATTTTCAAGTACCGACAGATTAAGGCCATCAGTAGTTATATTTGGCGGAGACTGAACCATGTCATTTGTATTCAATTAGACCAATGGTCAGTCCAAACTCTTTACACGCTTGAGGGAAGCGATCAGCATCATCTAAGCGCCGAACAACTTTAATTTAATACTGGAATCATGTCCCCACCCCACTCCGAAAATCACACACTGTGTCTTCTCCCTGTATCAGCCATGTTTACTTTACACGTCACAAGCGTGACGTCAGTGCGAGATTAGTAAAAGTCTTCGACTGTTGAAGTTGGAGTCGTCATTTCTTGGCCAATAAACCAGAAATCTTGTGTCTGCTTGTATGGGTTGGTGAGTGCATGTGTTTGTGTGTGCATGTGTTTGTGTGTGCATGTGTTTGTGTGTGCGTGTATGTGTCTGTGTGTGCCCGTGTAAGTGTATGTGTTCGCGTGTCTGTGTGTAGCTGGAGGAGTGTGTTGAGAGAAATAAAGTCACCAGAAGACGGGCCCGTAACGTAATTTAAACCGCATTTTGTCATGACCCCCCGACCCCCAGTTGTCTGTCAGAGTCAACAGAAAGACTCGTGCGCCCTTCATGAGATAAGCTGTACTCCCCCACCCCCCACACACCATGCGTGTCTTTGATAACTGTACTTTCCAAAATTACTTTTTAAAAAAATGTTCCCCTCCCTTTGTTGGGATAAAACGATAAGTCACGCACGACATTGTTTAGAAAGTCGTTTGGTCAGAATATCAGTGATAACTTAAGGCAGTGGTTCTCAAACTTTCTAATGCCGCGATCCTGTGATACAGTTCCTCGTGATGTGGCGACCCCCAGCCACAAAATTATTTTCGTTGATACTTTATAACTGAAGAGTATACGTGTTTTCAGATGGTCTTAGGCGACCCCATGTGAAACGGTCGCGCGACACCCAAAGGGGTCGCGACCCACAGGTTGAGAACCGCTGCCTTAAGGGTCAGGGGAGATATGCCAGCGGTGAATTTGAAATGTTTAATTTTCGATGGTACATAAATATGCCGGTAAAGGGCGGTTAGATTTTAAGAAAAGGACGGCGGTGCTTCAAGTCATGTTCTGCGGTCCAGCACTGGTCTTAGAGACCTGTCTCTGCGGTCCAGCACTGGTCTTAGAGACCTGCCCCTGCGGTCCAGCACTGGTCTTAGAGACCTGTCCCTGCGGTCCAGCACTGGTCTTAGAGACCTGCCCCTGCGGTCCAGCACTGGTCTTAGAGACCTGCCCCTGCGGTCCAGCACTGGTCTTAGAGACCTGTCCCTGCGGTCCAGCACTGGTCTTAGAGACCTGTCCCTGCGGTCCAGCACTGGTCTTAAAGACCTGCCCCTGCGGTCCAGCACTGGTCTTAGAGACCTGTCCCTGCGGTCCAGCACTGGTCTTAGAGACCTGTCCCTGCGGTCCAGCACTGGTCTTAGAGACCTGTCCCTGCGGTCCAGCACTGGTCTTAGAGACCTGCCCCTGCGGTCCAGCACTGGTCTTAGAGACCTGTCCCTGCGGTCCAGCACTGGTCTTAGAGACCTGTCCCTGCGGTCCAGCACTGGTCTTAGAGACCTGCCCCTGCGGTCCAGCACTGGTCTTAGAGACCTGTCCCTGCGGTCCAGCACTGGTCTTAGAGACCTGCCCCTGCGGTCCAGCACAGGTCTTAGAGACCTGCCCCTGCGGTCCAGCACTGGTCTTAGAGACCTGCCCCTGCGGTCAAGCACTGGTCTTAGAGACCTGTCTCTGCGGTCCAGCACTGGTCTTAGAGACCTGCCCCTGCGGTCCAGCACTGGTCTTAGAGACCTGTCCCTGCGGTCCAGCACTGGTCTTAGAGACCTGTCCCTGCGGTCCAGCACTGGTCTTAGAGACCTGCCCCTGCGGTCCAGCACTGGTCTTAGAGACCTGTCCCTGCTGTCCAGCACTGGTCTTAGAGACCTGCCCCTGCGGTCCAGCACTGGTCTTAGAGACCTGTCCCACCTTTCCTAAAGTCGCTGATGTAAGATGAAATATAAAAAATAATAATTTAGTGTTATAAATCCATTTAGTTCAAATAAAATAATGACAGATGTCTCAATAAAATAATGACAGATGTCTCAATAAAATAATGACAGATGTCTCAATAAGATAATAACCGATGTCTCAATAAAATAATAACAGATGTGATAGGAAAGGATAACAACCGGCAACCGTTCCTATTTCAGCCTACAAGGGCCCTTGGGAAGCCTGAATTATCTCAAGGAAAACATTGGAGCCATATACACCACTGTTATATCAAAAGCAGTACTGTGTGCAAGTAAGGCTTGGTCCCTCATCAAGAAAGCATGAGAACCTCCTCAATACCTGGGACAATAACACCCCCAGAGCACAATACGAACCAGTGTAAGATAATGGTGGCCGGAGACTACGTACGAACCAGTGTTAGATAATGGTGGCCGGAGACTACGTACGAACCAGTGTTAGATAATGGTGGCCAGAGACTACGTACGAACCAGTGTTAGATAATGGTGGCCGGAGACTACGTACGAACCAGTGTTAGATAATGGTGGCCGGAGACTACGTACGAACCAGTGTTAGATAATGGTGGCCGGAGACTACGTACGAACCAGTGTTAGATAATGGTGGCCGGAGACTACGTACGAACCAGTGTTAGATAATGGTGGCCGGAGACTACGTACGAACCAGTGTTAGATAATGGTGGCCGGAGACTACGTACGAACCAGTGTTAGATAATGGTGGCCGGAGACTACGTACGAACCAGTGTTAGATAATGGTGGCCGGAGACTACGTACAAACCAGTGTTAGATAATGGTGGCCGGAGACTACGTACGAACCAGTGTAAGATAATGGTGGCCAGAGACTACGTACGAACCAGTGTTAGATAATGGTGGCCGGAGACTACGTACGAACCAAGAGAGATGAAAATTGTTCTAAGATCTTTCCATTGCCATGGTAATAATAATATAAACAAAATTAAAAGGGCTGGCTGCTTTGCGCATGACACCTTGAGAGGATGACAAGTTATTGAGCAGCAAATGTAGACCATGGACAAAGACCAGGCGGTTCACTGGTCAACCAAGGAGTGAGAGACAGAGACAAAGAAGCGAACGGCCCAATGATCGAAGAAAAAAAAGGGGGGGGGGTCTACGCATGGATCGAAACGCCATGGAGTTGAGAAGAAACTGAAAAACAACAAAACACAACAAACTATTGCAATGTATGTTGAAAACGGACACGAAATGATAGCACTCGCCCAAAACATGTTCCAATAAACACGTGATTGAAATAGTCCGTCGTTCAAAACACGCAATGTTATATCATCTATGGTATGCTAAGAGCCTGCTCCTCTATAGCTAGGCTCTGAGGAGGGTTTCTCAAACTTTGGGCGTTTGTCCCCCCGCCCCCCTGGGGGTGCGGAGTGACATTTCAATGGAAGCGAGGAAAAAAAAAAGGGGGGGGGTACGAACAGTTGAGACATTATGATACGTTTAAGATTCCATATAAATGTTCCTATTTTTTTCTTAAAAAAGGCATTAGTCATTCACATTAAGATTTACTTCAGATAAATCGCAAAGGGTATTTAATTATTTCTACAGTGCTCTCTTTGCTATTAGAAGTCCATTATTAAATATACATTGTTGCTTTAGTAAGGGGAAAGACACGGGGTATAATAATTCGTAGTGAGTGAGAGCCTCACCAAATAATTCGTAGGGAGTGAGAGCATCACAAAATAATTCGCAGGGGTTGCGGAGCATAAAACAGGTTGGGGACCACTGCTAAAAGAGTGAATGAATGCATGTGTTTTAAATGATCGCCATGCGATTGTCAACGTCTCAGGCACGATGAGGTAAGAAAGCGATTATTTGTTACTTCGCCTGTCTGGTTATTTGTTCCGCCTTGTTCCACTATTGCCCAGACCAAACGTGGCCCAAATTTTAAAAAAAAAAAGGGGGGGGGGTCGTTTAGGGGGAGGGGAAGAAGATTTACGACACCTTGAAAGAAGTCCTTGTTTTTAGGACAAGAGAGAAAGGGAGAAAAGAAAAGTCCCACACGAGTCAACAGCCATAAAACAGAGGAGGACATCCTGATTGTCACATTGTTGGGTGTGCTTGGCTGGCTGCTCGGGATCTAGCGATGCATTCACATTGTCTGTGGCTCAAAGAAATAGTTCAAATTTTTTCTGTTAAAAGAATAGTATGCGATTTAATCACTTTGCTATTAAATAATTTTCTGAATTTAAATTTGAAAAAAAAAATATATATAATTGCATTTTTGTGAAGGATTAAGTAAATATTTTAGATGTAGGCCTACTTTAAGAAGGTCTACATATTAGATGTATTTCCGTAGGTCTATTATTTAAAATAAATGCATTTAAAAAAAAGCGAATGCTTTTAAATCCATTTTACAGAAAAACAATGTAAAATAACGCTGCCTTAGAATTTAAAAAAATTGAAGTAGCAACTCACTGTATCGAAACAAAAAATGTTATCAAGTTTTTAATTTAAACCCCCCCCCCCCCCCCCACTAAAATCTAATACATTTTATAGAGGATGAAAAGATTCAAATAATTATTCTTTTAAAAAAAAATTGAGGGGATATCATTTAAATCAACAACAAAGACTAGAATTTAAATACAACCTAACTTTGATTTAACGTACAGAAAAAGTTCGATACAATTAATGAAATGTCAATTTGAAATCATCGTCCCCTTTTTAAAAAAAATTATTTCTCCACTGAACAGTGCTGTCACGTGTTATTAGAAATACTGTTTAAGATAACGTTATTATATTAAGTTATTATTATTTTTTGTTGTTGTTGCTTTTCATCTCTTCTGTACCATTCTTAGCGTGTATGCTACCTAGTTACCCTGCTGGAGATGGACGCTAGATGACAACTAAAACCTGTTTTTTTAATTGAAACATCATTTCTTCTCATGAGAACTGCGTGAAAAAAATAATTTAAAAAAAAAGATTTTTTAAAAATTATAATTATCACCAGTTCGTGAAAGATAAAGGGGCACGGCCAAAGGATCTTTACTTTCATTTAGAAGATTGCTGCGCCTGCTCAACGCAAATAGCTAAGGCAAGAAAGATAGGATAACTCACACCATAGGATGGAGCCACGCGTTCACTCCTCTTGGATTATTGTTCTGATAATTCTAACCGCGGATTGTACAGGTCAGTACACAATTTGAGTGCATAATAAGTGTGTACATAAACCAAGAGCATATTTTGAGTTAATATTTAAGATAAAATTTGAGTGCATTATTGTGTACTTAAGTGAGATAATAACAGGGTGCATAATTGTGTACGTAATTAAGAAAATAATTGTGTACATAATTGAGTACATAATAATTGTGTACACAAATGAGCACATAATAGTGTACATAATCAAGTGCATATCTGAGTACATAACTGTATACATAACTGAGTACATAACTGTGTACGTACTTGAGTACATATTGTGTACGTAATAGTGTACGTATTTGAATATTTAAATGAGTACATAACTGAGCACATTACTGAGCAAGACCACGAGTTACAGTCCAGTAGGAGTTGCACGCCAATCAACCAAATATTTGACATACAATTTTAAATCCCCATTGCTTGAGAGGTCGACTGAAGATAACATTTCCCCAAAAGCGTACTGGAGGTGAAAAAAAAAACGAAACAACACCAAACTGTTGAGACGAGAACTGAGCTGTTTCATAATCATTTTATTGGTCTTTTGCTTTGAGTTTTTGCATTATTTATTAAAGCGGGCAAGAGCTAGATGTAATTTAATCAACTAATGTAAAGTGACTCAAACAATGACAAGACAGTCTAAAACAGTGACACGACAGTCTAAAACAGTGACAAGACAGACGAAAACATTGGCAAGACAGACTGAAACATTGGCAAGACAGACTGAAACATTGGCAAGACAGACTGAAACATTGGCAAGACAGACTGAAACATTGGCAAGACAGACACGCATAAAATTAAAGGTTGATACAGTTATCCAATTTTGATTTCGACTTGACAATAAACACATTGGAACGAGGAAGAACATCAAATGGAAGGAATATTTAGTTATTTGTATTAGTGTGCCGCCACATTATACACAAAAATCGATCCTGTGTAACCACTGGTAGAAGGAGACCAAAAAAAAAAGGCTTACAATTCTTAAAGTAATTGCGTCACATAACTCAGGTGCACCGACCCATGGCTTATAAGAAACCAAGAGGGAGAGAGAGAGAGAGAGAGAGAGAGAGAGAGAGAGGGGGGGGGGGTCCCACTGTCAATTCTTAAAGTAATTGCGTCACATAACTCAGGTGCACCGACCCATGGCTTATAAGAAACCAAGAGGGAGAGAGAGAGAGAGAGAGAGAGAGAGAGAGAGAGGGGGGGGGGATCCCACTGTCGTAATTGATTGAGCTGTTCATCAACACACACGATGACGTCAGGTGCAGTCTAAAACGGACATCCGGCCCGTTGATGAACAATCCGGGAACCCAGCCTTTAAATTGAACAAAAAAAAAGACATTGCTAGGCGTCTCGAGAGTACTGTTTCACATTTGGATTATTTTATTCTCTCAAAAGTAGTCAACTAAACAATGACCGTAAGGGTTATAATCAACAACATGTCCAACAAAGATCACTTTTTGAGGAGTTTCAATCTTTTATATTTGTGAACACTAACGTTTGGATCCCTTTCTCTGTGAAGTGGGTCAATTATGACAAAAGTGGGTCAGCTATGACAAAGGAGGGTCAACTGTGACAAAAATTGGGTTGAACAGCCCCCAAACATATCTGCTCTTACTTGAACGCTGATGATCTGATCTGAAGTTGAGAATGAAAGCTATCAACTCGCTCCATCACAGCTTTACTATTTTCTTCTCTCCAGCATCTATGAATTGTGCTCCTGCCATTCTCTTCTTAAATCTTAATCTCCTCTTTAGCGAAATCCATATTGTTCTGATTTTAAAAGTGCAATTCAATAGCATGTACCACCAAGTGACAGTGCTTCTCTCGCAGAAACACTCTTAAGACTTCTAGGTTGGTCACCACTTTGTCAAGAGTAAAGAGTTAGTCAGCACACACTGCTGTGTAAGATTAACTTCATCAAAGAAGATCAGCCCAAAGGTAAAGGTAGCAGTAAACGTGACATCACAGCCAGCATGTAAAAGACCTTGTGCTGTACCTCTTGTATCCTAATTTTCCAGAGGATCACACAGAGCTTCAATGGCCTCCACACATTCATCAAACTTACCTATCCCTGCTTTAACAGCAGCACGATGAGCAATCCACCGTGTTGTTGAGATTAAAAAAAACACGATATTCTAATGTTTCCAATTTGGATTGGTTACATGTGTGGAAAATGGATGTGTGATCGATTATCCTTTTTATGAAACTTGGTTAGAGCAAGCATTGCGTGCTCTGTAATTATGCAGTTTTTTTTCAATTTGGTGTCAACCGATGTGGTCCGCAACCCCGCACCCCCCTTGCTACGCCACTGAATAGCACGTTTCTAGTTGATCATAGCTGATATATACATATATATATATATATATATATATATATATATATATATATATATATATATATATATATATATATATATATATATAATGTGTGCATGTTAATAGAGTATTTCAGTCATTAAAACAAATGGTTTGAAAATTTAACCCCCCCCCCCGAAAAAAACAAAAACAACAAAAAGACAAAGAAACAAAGAAAACCAGTTTTTTAAAACAATTCTGTAAGATTCAGAAAGAAGTCTGCCGTACGCTATAAGTGATGGAAATTTTCAATAACGTACAAAGTAGGCTAGAAACATGCTCAAGTAAAATCTTAGTCGATTTGTTTATATACGATAGAACATCAATTATAAAGCAATCTAATAAAAGACATAACATTTCATTGTCTTCAGATAATGGGAATTAAAGAATAAAGGAAACTGAGATTTAAAATAAAAAAAATTGAGTATCTTTGTTTCTATTCCAGGACAGGGGACAAGTTCGAATGCGTCTGAGACTACAACAAGCGTGGTAGAACTAATCTTACACACATTTTCATCTGACACAGTTGGAACAACACAGCAAATATCTTCAACCGATATATTACAAACACCTGTGCAAGTACCTTCATCTGACATAGTACAAGAAACACAGCAAATATCTTCACCCGATGTATTACAAACATCTGTGCAAGTACCTTCATCTGACATAGTGCAAGTAACACAACAAATATCTTCACCCGATGTATTACAAACATCTGTGCAAGTACCTTCATCTGACATAGTGCAAGTAACACAGCAAATATCTTCAACCGATGTATTACAAACATCTGTGCAAGTACCTTCATCTGACATAGTACAAGAAACACAGCAATTATCTTCAACCGACGTATTACAAACATCTGTGCAAGTACCTTCATCTGACGTAGTGCAAGTAACACAGCAAATATCTTCAACCGATGTATTACAAACATCTGTGCAAGTACCTTCATCTGACATAGTGCAAGTAACACAACAAATATCTTCACCCGATGTATTACAAACACCTGTGCAAGTACCTTCATCTGAGATAGTACAAGAAACACAGCAATTATCTTCAACCGATGTATTACAAACATCTGTGCAAGTACCTTCATCTGACATAGTACAAGAAACACAGCAATTATCTTCAACCGATGTATTACAAACATCTGTGCAAGTACCTTCATCTGACATAGTGCAAGTAACACAGCAAATATCTTCACCCGATGTATTACAAACATCTGTGCAAATATCTTCATCTGACATAGTGCAAGTACCACAACAAATATCTTCACCCGATGTATTACAAACATCTGTGCAAGTGCCTTCATCTGACATAGTACAAGAAACACAGCAATTATCTTCAACCGACGTATTACAAACATCTGTGCAAGTACCTTCATCTGACATAGTGCAAGTAACACAGCAAATATCTTCAACCGATATATTACAAACATCTGTGCAAGTACCTTCATCTAACATAGTGCAAGTAACACAACAAATATCTTCACCCGATGTATTACACACATCTGTACAAGTACCTTCATCTGACATAGTGCAAGTAACACAGCAAATATCTTCAACCGATGTATTACAAACATCTGTGCAAGTACCTTCATCTGACATAGTACAAGAAACACAGCAAATATCTTCAACCGATGTATTACAAACATCTGTGCAAGTACAAGTAACACAGCAAATATCTTCACCCGATGTATTACAAACATCTGTGCAAGTACCTTCATCTGACATAGTGCAAGTAACACAGCAAATATCTTCAACCGATGTATTACAAACATCTGTGCAAGTACCTTCATCTGACATAGTGCAAGTAACACAGCAAATATCTTCAACCGATGTATTACAAACATCTGTGCAAGTACCTTCATCTGACATAGTGCAAGTAACACAGCAAATATCTTCAACCGATGTATTACAAACATCTGTGCAAGTACCTTCATCTGACATAGTACAAGAAACACAGCAAATATCTTCAACCGATGTATTACAAACATCTGTGCAAGTACAAGTAACACAGCAAATATCTTCACCCGATGTATTACAAACATCTGTGCAAGTACCTTCATCTGACATAGTGCAAGTAACACAGCAAATATCTTCAACCGATGTATTACAAACATCTGTGCAAGTACCTTCATCTGACATAGTGCAAGTAACACAGCAAATATCTTCACCCGATGTATTACAAACATCTGTGCAAGTACCTTCATCTGACATAGTGCAAGTAACACAGCAAATATCTTCACCCAATGTATTACAAACATCTGTGCAAGTACCTTCATCTGACATAGTGCAAGTAACACAGCAAATATCTTCAACTGGTGTATTACAAACATCTGTGCAAGTACCTTCATCTGACACAGTACAAGTAACACAACAAATATCTTCAACCGATGTATTACAAACATCTGTGCAAGTACCTTCATCTGACACAGTACAAGTAACACAGCAAATATCTTCACCCGATGTATTACAAACATCTGTGCAAGTACCTTCATCTGACATAGTGCAAGTAACACAGCAAATATCTTCACCCGATGAATTACAAACATCTGTGCAAGTACCTTCATCTGACATAGTTCAAGTAACACAGCAAATATCTTCACCCGATGTATTACAAACATCTGTGCAAGTACCTTCATCTGACATAGTGCAAGTAACACAGCAAATATCTTCACCCGATGTATTACAAACATCTGTGCAAGTACCTTCATCTGACATAGTGCAAGTAACACAGCAAATATCTTCAACCGATGTATTACAAACATCTGTGCAAGTACCTTCATCTGACATAGTACAAGTAACACAGCAAATATCTTCAACCGATGTATTACAAACATCTGTGCAAGTACCTTCATCTGACATAGTGCAAGTAACACAGCAAATATCTTCAACCGATGTATTACAAACATCTGTGCAAGTACCTTCATCTGACATAGTGCAAGTAACACAGCAAATATCTTCAACCGATGTATTACAAACATCTGTGCAAGTACCTTCATCTGACATAGTGCAAGTAACACAGCAAATATCTTCAACCGATGTATTACAAACATCTGTGCAAGTACCTTCATCTGACATAGTGCAAGTAACACAGCAAATATCTTCAACCGATGTATTACAAACATCTGTGCAAGTACCTTCATCTGACATAGTGCAAGTAACACAGCAAATATCTTCAACCGATGTATTACAAACATCTGTGCAAGTACCTTCATCTGACATAGTGCAAGTAACACAGCAAATATCTTCAACCGATGTATTACAAACATCTGTGCAAGTACCTTCATCTGACATAGTGCAAGTAACACAGCAAATATCTTCAACCGATGTATTACAAACATCTGTGCAAGTACCTTCATCTGACATAGTGCAAGTAACACAGCAAATATCTTCAACCGATGTATTACAAACATCTGTGCAAGTACCTTCATCTGACATAGTGCAAGTAACACAGCAAATATCTTCAACCGATGTATTACAAACATCTGTGCAAGTACCTTCATCTGACATAGTGCAAGTAACACAGCAAATATCTTCAACCGATGTATTACAAACATCTGTGCAAGTACCTTCATCTGACATAGTGCAAGTAACACAGCAAATATCTTCAACCGATGTATTACAAACATCTGTGCAAGTACCTTCATCTGACATAGTGCAAGTAACACAGCAAATATCTTCAACCGATGTATTACAAACATCTGTGCAAGTACCTTCATCTGACATAGTGCAAGTAACACAGCAAATATCTTCAACCGATGTATTACAAACATCTGTGCAAGTACCTTCATCTGACATAGTGCAAGTAACACAGCAAATATCTTCAACCGATGTATTACAAACATCTGTGCAAGTACCTTCATCTGACATAGTACAAGAAACACAGCAATTATCTTCAACCGATGTATTACAAACATCTGTGCAAGTACCTTCATCTGACATAGTACAAGTAACACAACAAATATCTTCAACCGACGTATTACAAACATCTGTGCAAGTACCTTCATCTGACATAGTACAAGTAACACAGCAAATATCTTCAGCCGATGTATTACAAACATCTGTGCAAGTACCTTCATCTGAAATAGTACAAGTAACACAACAAATATCTTCAACCGATATCTTACAAACATCTGTGCAAGTACCTTCATCTGACATAGTGCAAGTAACACAGCACATATCTTCAACCGATGTATTACAAACATCTGTGCAAGTACCTTCATCTGAGACAGCACAACAAACACAGCAAGTATCTTCAACTGATGTATTACAAACATCTGTGCAAGTACCTTCATCTGACATAGTGCAAGTAACACAGCACATATCTTCAACCGATGTATTACAAACATCTGTGCAAGTACCTTCATCTGAGACAGCACAACAAACACAGCAAGTATCTTCAACTGACTTATTACAAATATCTGTGCAAGTATTTGCATCTGACACAGTACAACTAACACAGCAAATATCTTCAACTGACTTGTTGCATCCATCTGTTCAAGTATCTGCAAGTCACTTAGTACACTCGTCTATGAGTATCTCTTCAATTGACGTTGTACAAACATATATTCAAGTATCTCCAACTGACACAGTACAACCAACACTGCTATCGTCTTTAAATGACCTAACACAACCATCTATGCAAGTATCTTCAACTTACATTATACAATCCTCTCAAGTAATATTTACAACTGGTACATTAGAACAATCCCTTGCAGTATCTTTAACTGGTACAGTACAACCATCAACACGGACAACAGTGCAAGTTTCATCCAGCGTGTCCACATCAACCGATCAACAAACTGAGGCGTTGACATCACCCGACTTCGCCACAACGACAGCAGCGCCCCCGATGTCCTCCGTAACCAGCCCGACGCCAGCCGGCACAGCTGAACCCGGCGCATCCACGGTGAACCCATCTCCAGTCAGCAGCATCATTTCAAGTACACCCTCCACATCTGTACCAACCACGACAGCTCCACCGACCACTACAACTTCACCACCATCCATCATCAGACGTAAGTAGGATAACACTTCCTGCGAAATTTTCATTTAAAGTTGCGTTTGTAAAACTCGGTTGCTGTTTTTTTTTTTTTTTTATTTTTTTTTAGATTTTGTAAAGATTTTAAAAAAAAGGGGGGGGGGGGGAAGAAATATTAATTTTTTAAAA